CATTGGTTGACTCTCGTGTATCAATGCCAGTCGTTTGTTGTTCAGGCTGGGTTGTTCAGTCTCACTACAGTAGCTGTCTATAATAATATATGTTCCCTGCCTTGGCTACTGTTTACAGTTTGTCTACATGATATTTAACGACAGTTGGCAATGCACTAAAAGATTTCTCAGTGTAAGGAACACACTTTGTGGCTTTTTTATAAAAGGTTCACTTTGTATTCTCAATATAAAATTCAGCCATATTTCTCACAGGAAATTTATGGAAGGATAATTCCGAAATTTTAACGCTGTCGCTTCGACAAAGTGGCACACAACAGGTCGTTCCCCTGTACATTTTACCTTTAGGCACTTTTTTTGTGTCACTTGCCATATTTATCAAAACCAACAGCAAACCAAACGGCTCGAAACTTTCCAAAATATACTCGAAACAAGCGAGGTTGCTTTAAATTTGACTAGCGTAAATACAGTTGCAGTTAAAAACTCCAATAAGACACTTGAACAGCAGTGAATAGTACTTAAAAGTACTTTATAAATCTTTGAAAACCTTTGAAATGTGAAATCTCGGTATTTCAAACAGTAACTGTTTTGATTTTTCGCGCCAAACAACCTCAATGTTTTGTGGTTGTCAAACGAACGTTTGATCAAACATCTGTTGTTTTGGGACGGTCAAGTGTGCAAACATTTTTGTCTCTCGGGTCGCTAGAATTAAACCGATCATTAAAATTTTTAGGCAAATAATAGTTTACAACGTGTTCGTTCTTTCGAAAATAGTTTAATGCAGTACTCACCTTCATGTTGTGAAATATTCAAAAATTTGTTCCTGACTACTACGAATCGAACTCCTTCCCCGCTTCAGTGACTTTGTACGCCATGTTAAATATTTCAACCACACTCGCTCGTAGAAGTCCAAGACGAAGTAGAAATATGAAACAAGTCGTACAGATTTCGTCAAAACTTTAATCAAAGCGAAAATGATAAAAGTTTTCTTGCAATTCTCATGTGGTTTAGCACCTTTCCTCGTTCGAAAAGTGTAAGCGCCATGTTGAAAAATTCTGCTGTGTAACTAAACTACCATGATGCTTAGCAATTCCGCAATTGGCCCATTATTATATGTTTCACGGTATTTAGATAAAAAAACTCGCATACGCCTTTAGAGGATCGTATAACTCTTCTAAATTTTGCAAATTAACGTTAGTTAAACGATGTCGGAATTTAGCTGCATTTGTTGCATTTTTATCACCAAATACTATATATGTGACATCATCCCTATCCATCAATCGTGATCGAGTAACACAGAATATAGGCAAATGATCGGAAATATCCGACAACAATAAGCCATTAAAAGAATAATTATCTGAGTGATTGGTAAATATGTTATCGATAATCGTAGCATGCTGTATGTGACGTTATTCTTGTTGGAAACGTTATTAAAGGAAAAAACATATAACCAAACATAATATCTAGAAATTCCGCAGTAAGTTGATAACTGTCGTGATACAAAAGATTCAAGTTAAAATCACCCATTAAATAACGAATTTTGTTTTCCTTGGAAATTATTCCCATAAGAGTATTAAGGCTATTTATGAACTCATGTACGTTTTCTTTAGGCGGTCTATAAATAATACCAACAATAATGTTTTTCCTCTTTGCGTTAGTTAATATTTCTATATACAGGGATTCGACACATGACTGCTTAGGGAATCTTAAATCTTTACGTAGTTTATATTCCAACTCAAGACTTAAATATAAACCTAAACCGCCTCCAGATCTATCGTTTGGGTGGCTATGTACAAAATTATATCCGTCAAAATCAATGGTATGTGATGAATCTTGTAACCAAGTTTCAGAAATACCAATAACCAAAAATTTATGGTTAACCAAGAAAGATACCTATAGGTTAAACATCATGTAAGTACGCGACATCATTGTTCAGCTGATGAGTGTGGCAAGTCTACAATCCTGGTCAAAAATCCTTGCCGCACTTAGTCGAAATAGCATGACCTTTACTTCATTTCTGATTACCATATACATACTTGCCCATTTTATGCAAAATTTCCTATCCAAACACCCCCTATCCCCCTTATAAATGTTGGGTAACACCTTGGGTAAGACAAGGGCTTTGGTACTTTATATTTTGTACTTTGGTACTTTGGTACTTTGGTATTTCCTGAATAAGGGGCTGTTTTTATGATCCCGCTTTGTCAGGACAAGATATGAGGCGGGAAAGGCAAGATGATTTCGATGTATTGAAATAAGCTAACGGTGCGCAATTCAGCAAAAAACTTCATTATTTTCTAGAGATAGATTTATACCCGGCGTACTTAATCGATAAAAACCGATCATCGGAAATCCAATCGATCAATCGATGGTAAACGATGTTAATTACTTAATTGATATCAATTCAATAGTACAGTGAGTATGAATGATTGTGATGGTAAGGGTGGAGTTGGATATATATTGTAGTGTGATCATGTGACTGTAGGTGATTGCATCCTAACATGGTGAAGGGAGCTTAAATGACAGGGATTTTCTGGATAGGAACGTTTGGCAATAATAAGTCATCCGTAAGGGATAAAAATGAATTATTTCAATGTGCAGGGTTTGATTTTATAAAAAATGAGTATACAGTAATAACTAAAATATGTACATATATTATAAGCTATAAACGATTCCCAGCTTATGTGACCAACGAGAGACACATCAAAGACGCAAAAAACAACACACAATCGATCAAATATATTTATTTCTACAATATCAATGAACGAATGATATAAATCGATAAACGATGATGATGGTTCTAAATAAACAATAAAGGTTCATCACAATCTATACTTATCCCAAGCAAAAAAGTCATAAATCAAATGTTTTACCTCGTATTTAGGCCACTTCCACGTACAAAAAAACCCTACAAACTATATATTGTATATGACCAAGCACATGGAATAAACAACTGCCCCTAACACATCCGGGCACTTACATAAATTATCATAAATTACCGTCTCGATCCTATATACCAGCCCCGAACGACCTACTATACTGTCGTTCAAAAATTATCAAAATGGATCGAGATCCACAGTTCTATCGATTACCAATAGTCACTTGCGCAAGTATAAAGTTTTCTCTTATTTCAATTGTCGTACTTCTCACGACTTCCAAAACAACGCCATCACCAAGCTTGTCCGACAAAATAAGATTGAACAAATAAAATTAACATCAACAACATATATAAACTGTTCGTAATAGAGTTTCTTTAGTCCCGTTTACTCCGAGTCGGATTTCTCCAGGAGACACAATTTCCTAACATCACGTCGATATTGAGTCTGATTGGCTGCACGAATCAACACTTGTCTAACATGTCCATTCTTATCTGGATACGATTCTTCAACTACTGCTAGAGGCCATTCACCTCGTGGACAATCCTCCTTCACCATCAAGACAACATCTCCTTTGGGAAACAGCCATTTCTGCCTCTCCTGTAAGCTTGGCAGGTACTCTTTCAACCATCTTGCCCAGAATTCGTCAGCTAATTTGTGCGCTAACTTCCATTTCTCTCGAAGGTTATGAGTCGACGCTGAGGTGTTTGCCGAACTACTTCGATTTCGATAACTTAGGAGTAAGGTGTTGGGTGTCAGAGCTGCCAAATCACGAGGGTCGTCACATTGTCGTGTAAGAGGGCGATCGTTGATCATTTTCTCGACTTCACACATCACAGTTAGGAGAGTTTCGTCGTCAACCAGTCGATCACCGACAAGAGCACGCATATTCTTTCGAACCGTTCTGATCATTCGCTCCCATATGGTGCAGAGAAGTGCCATTGAATACCTTGCTTCCTGAGGCGATCCAAGATCTTTGTTTGATTCCAATTCTGTAACATCTGCTTAACTTCGGCTTCTGCTCCACGGAAATTAGTACCATTGTCGCTGAACAATTCTTTAGGTGGGCCACGTCTGCTAACGAATCTGGACACCGCTTGAATGAAAGAATCCGTTGAAAGGTCGTGAGCAATCTCGATTTGTATGGCTCTTATGGCTAAACAGATGAAAACGCAGCCATAACGTTTTACAGTTCCTCTTTTATATTTCACTTTCAGAGGGCCAAAGTAATCGATACCCACGGATGAAAACGGGGGTTCGCCTGGTGTGACTCGGGCTTCTGAAAGTGGTGCCATAATCTGTTTACCTGGCGGTTGGTTACGACGACGACAAGCTACACACTCGTTAATGATATTCTTTACCGTGCTTGGCCCTTTCACAATCCAATATTTCTGTCGAATTGCTGCTAAGGTTTGGGTTGTTCCAGCGTGACCTTCTTTCACGTGATAGTAACGCACGATAAGCTTCGTGACGTGGTGGTTGCAGGGAAGAATGGCAGGATGCTTCGACTCTTCTGGTAATGACGACTTTTCCAGGCGTCCACCAACTCTCACGATATCTTCGCTAATAACTGGACTTAACTTAGCAAATCGTTCCTTCGAGCTTTCCTTGTTAATCGATGCTTCTTTCTGAGTAATCTTTACTATTTCCACGGCTGCCTGTTCGATTTCTTTAACCTTTAAGGGACCGCGTGGCACGTCCGATTCTGGAACCTTTCCACATCGAGACAATAAATACTGCTTGAATCTTAGCAGCCATGCGACCAACTTCTGTAATCGATACCAACACGACGGTCGATGGATAAGACGACTTACAACTTGGGAATTGCGTTCTCAGATACGATGACGGCACCAATATTCGCCTTGTTTCTTTTCACCTCCACCTCCACGTCTGTGTCGTCTACGTCGGGTAGATCACTTGGTTGCTCCGGCCACGATCGGTAATCTTGCCACAAGAAATCGGCCATTGAACCAAAATTTAAGGTTGCACTCATCTCGATATGTACCACCGATGCTCAGACCTCTCGGTGCGAGGTCTGCCGGATTCAACTTAGTTGGCACGTGGCGCCACTGACAAGAAGATGACGCATCACGGATGATCTGAAGTCGATTTGCCACGAAGGTTTGAAACCTTTTCGACGTGTTAGCGATGTAGCGAAGTACTATGATGGAATCCGCCCAAAAGATAACACGATCAATGGGTATATCTAGCTCTTCGCGAATCTGTTTATCTACTTTCACAGCTAGGGTTTGTATGATTTGTTAGCATTTTACTGTTCAGTAATTCGTCCTATTCTAGAATATGGTGCAGACATTTGGAACGGAGGTCTAACCCAAGAGCAGAAAAAGAGCATTGAACGAATTCAAAAACGAGTACTAAGAATAATTTACCCAAACCTAGACTACAACGAAGCAATAACTGAGACAAAGTTACAAACTTTGGAGGAACGTAGGGACGAATTATGTATATCTCTAATTAAAAAATGCTGGAACCAAACCATAAACTTCATAGCCTCTTACCAAAGAAACTAGAATACATTAGGCAAAAGGAAACAAGAATTAATAGTCAGAGGTTATATAATTTCTCTTGTATAAAACCGAACGTTTTAAACATAGTCCTTTGGTTTACTCTATATACTTGTATAATTTTAAATTGGTTGGTAAGAATCATGTTTCTTTTTAAAATTTTATCAGTTGGATAATATACAAATAGGTGTGCATTAGTAGTTTTTATACATAACGTAAATAGATATAGATTAGTAAGACTATATATTTAATGAATGACATGTAAATAAATAGAATATATACCCTGTTTATATCCAAATATTGTAAACACTTTGTAAATTAGCGTAACTGCTACTAAATGTGTCAATAAACCATTACCATTACCATTACCATAGGGTTGCGGCTGTCAGTTCCAGTCTTGGCACCGTGACTGTTTTCAGGGGGGCCACTCTAGCTTTACCCATAACCAAGCTACAATGAATCTTTCCACACGTGTCTTCTAAGCGAAGGTATGACGCTGTACCATATATCCACCGGACGACGCATTAGCAAAGTGGTGAAGCTCCGCACTCTTTATTTATTTGAATCCTGGAGGTTTGTAACATCTTGGAATTTCGGTTGTGGTAAGCGACTGGGACTCGTTCTGCCAGGTTTGCCATTCCGTGCCGATCTCTTTCGGAAGTTCTTCATCCCATCCACGACCACTTCGACAAAGTTCCTGTAACATACGCTTCGCTGGCAAAACAACAGGGGCAACTAAACCGAGCGGATCATAAACAGACGCGACGGAGGATAAAATTCCTCTTCTGGTTTCTGCTTTGAGGTTTCCATTACGAAATCCTAGGCTGTCCGTTTCTGTATTCCATTGAACACCCAACGCTTTATCCTTTGGTAAATGTTCCAATTGCAAACTGACGCATGGCGCTCTTTCGTTATCTGGCACGTGGGATAATACTTCTCTTTCATTCAACAACCATTTGGTAAGTCGGAACCCGCCGCGAGACAATAATACCGGGAGCTCTTCCACTAAATTGACAGCTTCTTCTTTCCTTGGTAACGATTTCAAGCAATCGTCTACATAAAAGTCACGATTCACCGTGTCAATGACTTGCTTACTGAAGTCCTGCTTATTATCTTCGGTGGTCTTCTTTAATGCATACGAACAACAACTTGGAATGCATACGAACAAAAACTAGGCGATGATCTAGATGTTGCGCCGAACAAATGAACGGTCATTTGGTATTCAACTGGTTCTTTCGACAGGTCTCCTTCTGGCCACCACAAAAATCTCAGCGCTTCACGGTCTTGTTGAACTGTGATTCACGGTCCGCTTGAACTCTCTTGGCATGTCCCTTCGAGATGTATTCCTCCATTGTCGCCTTATATTTAGCATGAAGGGTGGGACCTCTCTCCAGTCTTTTCTTCAAATAGCCCAGTCTCTTTTCTGCCATAGATCTATCATTCGGTAAGGTTGGTTCGCTATACTTCCACGGAAGGTCAATCTCGTAGTGCCCATCTTTAAGTTTAACGGAACTGTCCATCATTGCCTTCGCACGACGGTCCTCAATCGAAAGACATTCCTTCAGGTCGGCTGTCGATTCACTAAACTCAGAGTTGTATAGACTTTCTAATTGCTCGTGAATAGAACTCATACCCTTCACGTCTTCTTTGCAACCGAGCGCTTGATCAACATGGATACAGTTTAACTGGGCTTCCTGATAACTGTTTCCCTTCAGAGGTCCCATCACCGTCCAACCTAAAATTGTTCTTATTGCATGAGGTTGGTTCTTCTTCCCCGCACGTACTTCAAGAGGACAAAGAGCTTCCGGGACGTCACTTCCAATCAAAATGGTTACCTTCTTATCCACTAAATCACTAATGTCAACGTTCTTAAGATAAGACCAATCTTGCATGTCACTAGTCGCTGGAATGCTCCCTGGGGCCACTGGTAAACTATCGGTTGTCCACACTTTATTTAATATAACACCCTTTCCAGTGGCTACTCCGACAACATCGAGAGACAATTGTTGGCCATTTCGTTTCTGGTTTCCTAACACAGTTGATAAGCTAAACTCAACAGGCGTACAATCAGCACCAACATTTTCAGCTAAGCTGGACAAGCACATAGTCGTGTTTGACCAACTGTCCAAAAACGCATAAGTTTCAATAACGTGATTACCATAAGGTGCACTGACCCTGACAGGAACAACTTGAAGGCCAATACGATGGCTGCGAGATGAGGAATTTTTTGCACCAACACCAGATACATTAGATCCGCCAGATTGCATATCTTGCGTAGACCGGTTGTTCTCAGGAGCTGAACCAGATTCTGCTCCAGGATCTGCTTGGGGAGGTTTGACTTCCTTTTCGGAAGAATGCAGTAAAGGGTGGTGTCTTCTTTGGCAACCTTCAACACCGCACATCTGGGCCCCTCTGCAATTATTTACAAAGTGTCCTGGGCTGAGACAAGCATGACAAACTCTTTTAGATTTTATTAAATCTCTCCTCTGCTGAAGACTCTGAGCTCTAAACTTGTGGCAACGCTCAAGATGGTGAGTACCTTTGCACAGGACGCACAACAAATTTCTGCCTTTCGACGTCTGTGACTTCGAAATCTCGTTCGAAACACTAGATTTCCTGGCTCGAGACTTTCTCTTCTTTGTCATGGCGTTGATCAGTTGAAGCCATATAAGCTATAAACTATATAAGCTATAAACGATTCCCAGCTTATGTGACCAACGAGAGACACATCAAAGACGCAAAAACAACACACAATCGATCAAATACATTTATTTATACAATGTCAATGAACGAATGATATAAAATCGATAAACGATGATGGTTCTAAAATAAACAATAGAGGTTCGTCACAATGTATACCTTTCCCAAGCAAAAAAGTCAGAAATCAAATGTCCTTAGTTATTTAGGCCACTTTCACGCACAAAAAACTACAAATTATATATGTATGACCAAGCACATGGAATAAAAACAGCTACTCCTAACTCATCCGGGCATTTAAAATAAATTATCATAAATTACCGTAATTACCGTCTCGATTCTATTATAGTAGTTCCAGTAAAATTTTGGTTGCACGCCTCTGTACCCTTTCCATCATGTTTATATATTTGATTTCCTGAGGAACCCACAATTGAGATCCGTACGAAAACAGCGATCTTACCAGACTGATCTAGAGAGTACGACGCGCGTTTAAACTACCAATTTCCACAGAACAAGTCAATCTGATCATAACATCTGAAAAAATTAGGTAATTGTGAACCACAGAATTTACACATGCAGCAGTCTGTCGTTGATTACAACTAACATATATACGATAAAGAAGATACCAAAGAAATCTTTCTTATAAGGTTATATAAGAAATATATGCTGATAATTATGTGTCAAAGGAAAATAATATTATAAAGAATTTTACATTAAATGCATGGTTAAAAGTATTGCAAGTTATATTGGTATATTGAGGTTTAAATGATGATGAATTTCCCAAATTCATCTCAAACCTCGACCTCCCTTATATTTCTCCTATTTTGAGACGCACCAGCTCCAGTTGATGCTTGAAATTATCGACTGGCCAAGTTTTCTCAAAATGCTCCCATTTTCTAACTATATATGATTTGTGCGAAGGAAAATTAACGGGATTCAAAATAGAAACTAATTTATTCTATCGTTTATTTAGACTGGTACAAAATTAGAGAGAAAAGTCACAGATTTCAAATTAGTGAATAAATCTGCTGATGTTCTTAAATCATCTGCTAGAAACTTATCATCGTTTTTAAAGAAAGAAGTGATAAATCCATGGAGTGTATCATCAGATTCTGTACAAGTTATTAAAGAAGAAAATGTAATATTTGAATATGCTGGTCAGAAGAAACATAATTCTGCGAACCTTTTGGGTGTAGTTGTTCTTTCAGTACTATTTGGAATCATTCTGAGTGGCCTTGGCGATAATGGAAAGCCAATAGTGGACTTGTTTAGTTGTTTGTTCAAAGTTGTCATGAAAATAGTTGATGTAGTTATATGGTACGTATATCGAGCTATATCTTTATTTAATTTAATTAACAATTCCAAGCCATGCACATATAATGATTCCCAAGCTGAAATAATTATATAGTTTATAGAGAATAAATACATGAACCTACAGTAAACTTACGGCAATATGGAAAACATTGACTTACGTCAGCACCAGTTTAATTGTTTTAAACTGCTTTTAGGTTTTCGCCCATTGGTATCGGCAGTATAATTGCGAGCGAGTTAGTGGCAATGCAAGATATTAAAGGCATAGCAGAAAATCTTGGACTGTTTATTGTGACTATAATCACTGCATCAATCATTTATGGACTTGCAATTCTACCGGCTATATATGCAATTTTATTGAGAAAAAATCCTTTTCGACTTCTGTGTTGTGTTGCCAAATCACTGCTTACTGGTATTGGTACTGCATCGAGGTGAGTTACAGTACAATGTTTTGAAATTACCATTTAATTACTGAATACTCCAGCATTAATTATTCGTCACGAAAATAAAATTTTAATATATTTCTAATTCCATAAAGCATTCTTGAAGCACCAAAATGGCGTCTATAACCGCCAAATTATAATATAGACCGCCGTTGAACATAAACAATGAACATATCTATATATAAGCTTAATGCAAAGATGTGTAAAATATTGACATGGTGCATATAATTAAATATTGACTTATTAAGAAATTAAATATCTTTGTAAACTGCGCACGATTTGGGGGAATTTAAAGCAGCTTCTTAAACAGTTTCATTATGCATAAAATTTACTTATGTCAAGCGTTCATCACTTGTGGGTTCCGCAAAGTGCTGAGATCGCCAATTCTATTTCTGTATTCCGTCCTACTCACACATATGCCAACCCCAAATCCCTAGTGCTGACGAGTCCATGATTCCATGAAGGACAAAACGCCGGCGAACTGAATACTACTGGATACTGAATTTTACACACATGACTATTCTCCTTCTCTCGCTTTATATATTTTACAAGCCTCCATACAAGCTTTTTAGTACAGCGCGATCATATCTTTTGGGTCTGATCAATTTCTTTATACCACAGGATATATTCTACCGTTACAATTTTACACATGTATCTCCAATTTTATGTTCCGTAAATCTACACCTGCACTTATATCTCTTAGGTTCACAATTATACAAATACAAGTCGTGTTTTTATCTTTTATCCTCAGTTTCATACAACATAATTTTCACAGGCATACATTGTGTCAACAACATGATGCCATCACACTATCATATTTCACACCACATTTTTTGATCTAACATTTAGGGACTATTGCATGTGGCATAAAATTATTACTAGGACACCAATATGGTTCTCATTACCTATATCTAAACTTAAAAAACTCAAAATAAATAATGAACATATATCTATCTAGTATTCAAGCCCGCAATGTATGCACTGACTTTCAAACAACTCCCACACACGTCAAAGGTACGTACCGGAAAAGCACAGGCAGTCACTCTCACCTTCGGCAGTTACGGTTGATAACTAGTCTCACCTTCAAAATAAGCACTATTCAATGAAATTTGCATTGTTTTATTAGCCTTGTAACAATAAAATGTCATCGACAGTGTTTTCTAGGCACTTCTTTCAAGTTTGGCCGGTCGTCAAGATCAAGGGACTTATTGTGGTTATTACAAAGGCAGTAAGAATGACGGCGATTCGTTTGCGCATCTCTGCACCCTGGTCAATAAACTTTCCTACTCTACTAATAGTTTTGGTATTCTTACCTCGTATAGTTGTGCGCGCTTTTTCTTCAACTGGTCGCTCATTTTGGGGTCTCAGAGGTACGTGCTTATCTTAAATATGATTTTAACAAATGGAATAAGTCACCAACTGAAAAGACCCACCTACAGTTCTGTAAATTATACCTATAGATGTGGGGGAAAAGCAAGCAATATGGCTACGAGAGGTGAACTAGGAAAATTCCCTTTACAAATTTATATATACAAACGAAAAACTATATAACACACTTTAATAACTTCATTACCCGAAACGGAAACAGCAATTGCAACATAAGCTTTCTTAATATCAAAAGACCTATACTCAAATAATAAGACGTCCTTCTATAAAAATGCTATGGATATTTTGAAAAAATACAAATGCCACTCGCAAATAGTGGGTTTAGAATCAATATCTGCTCAATCATTAAATCCTGTTATCGACAGTGTTAAACAACGTTACATTACATCTGGGAACACCAAATTGAACACTCGTCCAAATTATATTTTTACTCAATTTTCAAAAAAGAATACCAATTAGAAAAGTATCTCACCCTTATCAGAAACACAAGCCAGAGGAGATCATTCACTCGATTCCGAATAAGCAATCACAAATCGAATGATTGAATGTGGCGTGGATACCACAACATTCCCCGAGAAGAACGAATATGTAAGCTTTGCAGGGACGCTGGAACGGTAATAAGGCAAAGGGGGGCAGACACACACCAAGGGCACCTCCTCCCCCCCGTCACCAAAAACTTTTCGGCTAGTGTACCATTTTAGGGGTCAAAAATTTTTTCCGGACATACCAAAATTTTCCGTTAAGTTAAAAATTTTTTCTAAATTCCAAAATTTTCTAAAATGTTTGTAAATTAAACTCATTCTTTACCAAATTCACAATTATTTTTGTTAATTTACTTTCTCTGGGCCTATAAATTACCTGAATCTCATGATTTTCCCAGAAAAAGCATCACTGGAAATGTGATTTATCACGT